CATACGGTGCGCAGCGCTGCGGCTTGCGAATAAATGAAAATGATGTAACACATTTGATTATACTTTTAGCAGCTCCTTTTATTCCACAGCTGACCTGCCAAAAATGACAGATTTTCTTTTCTGGATCTCTGACAGACGGACTTCAATCTCGTAAAGTTCTTCTTTTTAGTTTTCGCTGTCATTTTTCATGAATGAACACTTCCTTGTATCTGAGGAAGGAAACACAGCCTTATATGGTGTTTTTGGGGTGGTAATTATGCTAATCTCCTCTCGCGTGCACGAGCAGCTGGATACGAACAGGTGGTATTTATGCAGCTCATTTACACACTTTTCCTGAAGATAGAAGAGTTTGTTGAATCTGACGTGACATGTTTGCACGAACCCTTTGTACGAACAAAAGTAAGAGAAATTTAGGATAAGAATACGAACATGTTCTTGCATGAGGCCCATAAATCTTAAGTAAGCCTCATATCCCAGGTACATTGTCTGTGAGCCTCTGACTAAATCTCTCATCTCTTCTTGTTTTGTTTTTTTTTTTGTTTGTTTTTTTTTTGCTCCCAGACAGCTCAAACAGTGCTGGTAGTGGTGGTGGTTTTTTGCCTGTCCTGGCTCCCTCACCACATTGTTCATCTTTGGGTGGAGTTTGGGACCTTTCCACTGAACCAGGCCTCCTTCGTGTTTCGGGTGGTCGCACACTGCCTGGCGTACAGCAACTCATCTGTCAACCCGGTCATCTATGCCTTCCTTTCTGAGAACTTCAGGAAGGCTTACAAGCAAGTCTTCAAGTGCCAGATTGGCAGTGGAGACTGCCCGCTTAACGACATCAAGGAGATTCGCAGTAAAGCGGAAACACCACCCTCGACTAATTGCACTAATGTTTAACTGAGGTCAAGTGACATGAAAATGATCTCTGTCAGCTGTGAGACTGCAACTCACTGTGAGTCAAGGCAACCAATTCATCAGACATGAGTGGGTTTGTTTGGGTAAGTATGACTGATTGTACTACTCCACGTATTGTAAGAGCAGGTCATAGTACCTGGACTGGAGTGGATCTACAGAGGCTAAGGTCCTCTCAAAAACCGATGGTGTCTAAAACTCAGGAACAGAATCAGACCTCTACAGACAAGATATTTTGATGGCAAACATTTAAATATCAACATTACGGTGTATTTATATAATACTACATTCAAATATGAAGAAATGTGTGCTTTCACTTACAATATATATTCTTCTAATAATAGAATTTTGCCTTGTACCAAAACAAAACATAATTACTTACAGCTGTAAAACTATTAGTGTTTATGTGTCTGAAGAGAAACTGTTGTAACAATTTGTGGCATTGTAGTGCTTTTTTTCAGGATTTATTAAGGACGGCTATCTTAGATTGATACAAGTTTTGATACTTGCATTGTCTAACGGCTGACTTGTTGCCCTGTGAAATGATATTTGCTGATGCTTTATGTTGCTTCTGACGACACATTAACCTAACTAGCTTGTTTCCGAAACCATTCATCTTGCTACTTTGAAATAGACAAATGCACTATCAAGTAACTCAAAATTGTTACCTGTTTATCCATTGCAAAATAGTCACTGGTTTGCTTAATGTAGCTTTCTTGCTGTAGATTAAAGCTTGCTTACTAATGTCATTAGAACTGTATAACTGCAAAACCAGTTTTGACTTCTGTATTTGACTCATATATATATAT